TATATAATTATTGATAGCAAATTTTACATGTGGAAGTATAGGATCCCAACTAGTTGCATGATTAACGATAAATCAATGTAATAAATTTCCCAAATTCTAATTGAGTACTTCGATTTGACCATCCATTTAGGGATGAAATGCACTAGAAAACATTAATTTTGTCCTCATTTTTGTCCACAAGGTATTTCATAAATAAATTACAAATTTGACATCTCCATCAGAGATAATAAAGAGTGGCACCCTATGTAACTAGACCACTTCTTATAAAAATAAAATAGCTACCTTAAAAGCATCAAAGGTTTTGTTACAAGGAATGAAATGATACATTTTTTAAAATCAATCCACTATCACTATAATTAAATCATACTGTCGAATAGTCCTTGGTAGTACTAAAAAAAAATCCATGCTAATATATTACCATAACTTATCTAGAATTGAAAGAGGTGTATAGAGTCCAACTTGGCTTTTAGTTCCTTTATTTAGTTGTGAGACTTTACAATGATTAACTATCTTATGCACATCTTTATAGATCCGAGGCCAATAAAATGAATCAACAACCATGGTATAAGTTTCATCAGAACCAAAATATGCTACTAACTCGCCATTATATAGTTATGTTATGATGAATTCATGGAGAGACCCTTTGGGAATGCATATCCTAGTACCAGTACCATAAAATAAATACTTGTATTTCATGAAGTATTTATCACCAATTATGTAATTTTAGAATTTAAGTTACATCGTATGTTGTTAAAGTCATTATCAGCATTTTAATGTCTTTAAACCTAGTAAAATGAACTGAGAAAAGGTGCTACAAGTGAGGTTGTCGGTTTAAGGCACCAATAAATTTATTCTTAGTTCCGAGCTTTTGCTTAATAATAAATTCAAATTCAAATTCAATTTTAATTTTAATTAGATTAAAAGGTGTTCAGCTTCAAGGTTGTCAACAACTGTTCAATGTGAGCTAAATTGTTCTAGAAACAGTTACTAAAAATTAATATCATCTAAATACACAATAACATATTTACCCAAGATTTGTTTGAGAATTTATGTTTTAACACACATGAAATAACTTAGTGCATTAATTAATCCAAATGGCATAACTAGCCATTCAAATAAACCTTCGTTTGTTTTAAAGGCTATCTTTCATTCATCATTAGGATAAACATGAATTTGATGATACCCATTGTGAAGATCCTTGTTTGTAAAAATAGAGGCAACACTTAACAAATCCAATATGTCATCATGTTATAAGATTGCAAATTAGTATTTCACTATTATCTTATTAATTGCTCGGCTGTCTATGCACATCCTCTAACTCTTATCTTTTTTTTTGGATAAGTAATATTAGAACAGCGTAGGGACCAATGTTTTATTGGATGAAACTCATATCCAATAGCTATTAAACATGCCAGTTAAGCTCCTCATTATCAGTAGGAACCATTCGATAATAAGGTAGGCTGAGTAAGGATGATTATGGAATGAGATCAATAAAATGTTGTACATCATGTATTGGTGAAAGCTGGTATGACATTTCATTTTGGAATTTCTCGAGTATTGCTGCCAGTTCTTTGGGTATTAAGCCATCATTTTACTTTACTTCACGTCTTACTATAAATAGCAAAATTTACTTTACTCCACATCTTACTATAAATAACAACATTTGTTCTCTATTTAAATATTGAGAAAACTATTGTATGTTCAATATTGAAATTGTTTTTGGTTGCCTTAAATTTTGAAATTCTATTCAATACTGAAATTGTTTTGAGAAAACAAGCTTCTTGCACTTAAACAAAAAAGAATAGGTATTGATATAATCATTATAGGAAATTTTTTGGTCATATAGCTAAGGTCGTCCCAATAATAAATAACAAACAATCATGTGGATGATATTAAACCATACCTCATTCATATATTCCTTTCCTAATAAAACCTCACTAAAGATCAATGATCCACTAAGATTGAATTATCTTTATTGACTAGCTTTTTTTATAAGGAGATAAATGTTTTTTAATTTATAAACCCAATCATTCTACTATTATTTTAAAGATACTAGATGAATAACACAACATGGTAGTTCTAAAGCATTCAAGTGTTCCTCCTATTAGCTGCTGACCTTTTGGTTTCTTTTCCCTCTATTTTATCCATTATTGTCAATTCCTTTTCACATATAAAGGCAAGTTTCGTATCTTTAGTGGGACACACTATAACATAATGTCCAAACTCATTGTATTTATAATATTATGGACCATCACTTGTAACTTTTGCTTTTTCTTTATGATCTTCTATCAATGAGCCCCCTAGTTTGTCATATAGCGATTATAACCTTTGTATAAAAACCTTATTATATATCCTGACTTTAAATCCATTGACATGGTCTTATTTCCACTCATATTCCCTATTTTTTTTAATACGCAATACTACTTGATATGCTTCCTTGATATTGATTAAATGTGCAATCAACATTTTCTTGCGTAGCTTACTATGCAAGCCATCGTGGTATCAGGCTAGTGTTTGTTGGTTAGTCTCTACAATTCTATTACAGATAATCAATTCATAGAAGCAATCTGTGTATTGATCCATTGTTAAGGACCCATGCCTTAATTATAACATTTCTTTAGACATCATTTACTCATAATTAATGGGTAAATATTTTTCCATCAGCCCTTCTTTCATTTCCTCCTAGTTTGAAATTGATAGATGCCGAATACAATGTAATTGTGCTTTTATACTTCCCCACCAAATGCATATATGCCCCTTCAATTTCATTTTAGTATAACAAATTTATCAGTCCTTTTAGATAACAAATAAGTCGAAATAACTCTTAATGGTTATGAACCAATCCTCAAAAGCATGTGGTTCCAATTTACCATAAAAATCAAGCACATGCACCTTCATTCTCCTGGCGAGTTCATCAAGATATTGATCCTTCAAACCATGCCCATCACGATTATGAGGAAATTAATCTCTGTGATGCTAATATTAATAGTGATGAAGTTTAAAATCCCTGGCATCAGTTTCTAAATCCTCTCTGTTGGCCTTGTGATTTTCATTAAATGACTCCTGATGAAATTGACCACGTCCCTTCCTATTAGGTGATCTTAGCCTTTATTGAGCCCGATGTTCATTTATAACATCCATTCATTGAGAAAGTTGTTCTAACATAGTAGTGATGTGAGTGATTTACTATTGTGGGCTAGTCTATTCACAAGTGGAATTATTAGGAATGTGATTGTTCAACATATTATCTGAGTTACCATTCCAAGTTATGGTTATGAAAGGCTTTAAAACCAAATTGATGTAATAATCCCATGTTTAACCTCGTGTTGAATCTATGAAGAGTAATAGTTAATTAATAAATACAGAATCTTTCTACAAAGGAATCACTCCAAGCTATATATTATGTTTTTTTTTTAAAAAAACAACAATAATCAAAAACAAAAATACTCTCCTTCTTTGTTTTTTTTTTTTCAATCCCTTATATATTGTCGATCTAAAGGATTATAATCTAAGAGATAATTAAGAAACAAATACTAACTTGACTAGGAAACTAACAACTTGCTAGAATAAAATAACTAACATCTAATAAATTATAAATGCTTATAAGAACTTCTTTGTTCCGCATGTCTTTTTATCTAGTAGATTCCATGACACATTTTCTTTGCCTAATAGATTTTTCTAACAGACTCTATGAATTAAAGGACATCCTCATCTTCCTGATTTGCATCAAACTATCGTTAAAGTTGTTATTTAGACAAATTAAAAAGTTCAATATGTTTGATTAAAATTATGATTGAAATTGATATTGGTAATTAAATGATCTAAAAGTATATGGATCAATTTCTTATTTTGCCATTACATTGATATGCATTTCACTACTAATACAATGTCATGCAAATTATAACATCGGCTTCATTGTCCCGTTACGATTATAATCCATATAAAAAGGCCTTTGATTATTATGGGTTTGTGAACATGAAATCATATCGGTTATAAATTAATTAAAACTATTTGGAAAGAAATTGCAACTTTGATGCCGGCACAAAGCACTATTTACAATCAATAAAATGCTAGAGTTTGATTTATGTACCGGTGTTGTTTGTTGCAGTAATATAGATTGTTTGTTGGAGTAATTACTAGAGAGAAGAATGTTACAATGGTTAACAAAATTAGCTTGATTTATTCTGGAGAGAAGAATGTTACAATGGTTAACAAAAAAATACTGGTATTACACAATTATATGAACACAATTGAAAAAAAAATACAAGTTAAAGATGCTTTAAAAGAATTGAGGTTAGACCTTAGTTAATTGATGGGTCCTACTGATAAAAACACTATTGAAAGTTTGTAACCAAACAAGTAATATTTAGGGTTCACACAAAATATAAAAACAACCACAAAAATAAACGGATTCATAATGTTTAATTATCAAATAAAAATATGGTTTAATTTGTGATGGCTACCATTAAATGAGGTCTAACCTCATTTATAGTAAAACTATTTTTTCATGCTTTTTCTTTATCATAATTCTTTTTTTTTATCATTAAAAAATTAACAAATCATTTTAACTTTTGCAATTTAAACACTCGTGCTGAAGCAACAAAAGTTTGGTTTTGCCTATAATAAACACTATATTAAACCTACACAATTCATACCTATAAGGTTTAAAGATTTTTTATAAAAAGATTTTCTTGTTCTTGATGCTAGGAATAAGAAACACATTTTTTACATATTACTAATTACTTATTTTTTATTTAATTTAAAGTTATGAATTTACTACTTGTTATCTCTGGTTATTTTATTTTAAAAACAATTTTAACCCAATATTTTTCAATTGCTTTTTATTTAATAGCTACTTTAACATAAATTTTAACCAAATACATATATAATTAAACTAGTAATAACTAAAATGCCTTCTATTTTTATTTTTATTTTCAAATCATTAAAATAAAAAAAACTACCTTAATATTTATTTTTATTTTTATTTCCCTGCATCGTGTTCGACGCCCTCTTTCTGCACTTTCCTGAACAGATATGGATTATCAATGCAACCTATCTCAAATAAGCGACCTCATCTTTAATGGCATCTACAAAATGGGCCTATCTGGAGATGACGAAGAGGAGGTACAGTTACAATTTCGAATTTTCAAATTCATACGATCAATCCTCCTTATTTATCTCAAATGATTAATCGTGTTTCATTTACTGGATATGCAGCTCGAAAGATTTGATGATTTTACACTCGCCTCTGCTTGGGAAAGGTACTTTTACTAATATTATGACAATACATTTACCATATGGATTATATATATAAGAAGCAAATGCAAGGGGGATGATTATTGTTTTATTTTCCTTTTCGGTTCTTTAATTTGTAGGTTTATTTCTGAAATAGAGGCAGTTTGTAGGCAGTGGCTTGCCGATGGTCCAAAAATTTACGAGTAAGTTTTCTCAATTTAAGAGTAAATTTACTGGTTTATGCGAATGCGTGATGCGGCAGATAGAGTGGTCCATTATGGATTTTGTTGATTATTTGACTGTAGGAAAAGGGTGCAGTTAAGTTGGATTTTTCAGCTATAGAAGGTTAAATTCGACCCTAAACACACGACGAAAAGCTATAACATGGAGTCTTATTTTGAAACCAACAGCGGCGGTACTTGAAGCATTTTGTTCTAAAATTGTATTAGTTCTCGCGGTAGATTTTTATGGAATCTTTTTTCTTCATTTAATTTTTAGATGATGCAGGAAAAATTGTGGATGAGAATTGTATCTTGCATGATTTGCAGTTTTGCTTTGGAGGGAGAATTTTTTGGTATCTGCAAAGTCGCTGTGTTGCAGTTTGCTCTGCTCTATTTGATGTTTTGTTGTAGTCATAGCTAATGTGTTTTTGGATCACCAGGTTATTGCTCCTCAAAGTGCTAGTGGTGTGGTTCTTGATTCACCTGATGCTTGTAAATTCTGGAGTGCGTTTGCAATTGCTTTGAAAATTGCTCCAGGTGAGTTTCAAGTCAAAGATTCTAGATGTTAGTTTAATGTGTTGGTTTATAGGCTTACATAGTGCTACATTTCATTAGTAACAACATCACGTTTGTTGTTTGGGCTAATGTAATACCAGTCTTGTTTCCTTTCTTATTAAAATGAAACTGAAGTTTCAATAGGTTTGCCACAAAGGATTGGCCACACTAAATAACTAATTTCTGTAACTCTGTTGCATTAAAATTTAGAATGTGAGCACACTGAATTGGCTTCTAATGTCTTGTACTTGGAAAATGCAGCTTGTGGCCAGCTTTTGTTCCAGTTCATGATCTTTCTAGGAAGGCTTATATTGGAATTCAAAATATGGGAACTGTTTTTACTAGAAGATGTGAGGCTGATCATATTGGTAGCTAGGTTCCTGTAAACAACCAATACGGGCATCATATTCATCTGACCACATATTCCAGCTGTGTTTCTTCCTTCTTGTGCCAAGGTTGTTTGCATGCCTTTTATTTGTGTGTGTGTGTGTTAGGAGAAGATCTACCCAATGGATCTCATGGGTTAATGTGCGGTAATATATATTCCAGTTAGAATAAGAAATAACGCTTATTAGAATGTTGGCATTCATCTTCATCAATCCGTTTCCTGCCATTATTTGTTCTATTGTATTATGCTTTTGTGCCTTTTAAATTACATATGATACATAGCTGTTCGCTTATTGTGCTGTTGGTTATGTGAAATTTTACGTAGATAAGAGAGCTTGGATGCTTAATTTTCCAGTACTTGAAGAACCTTCAAAGTTTTTCTTTTTTGGGGAATATATGGTTTAATACTCTTAAAAATGTTAATGAAGTAAATTTCTAGTGCTCAAAAGTTGTTAGTATAGAAATGGTATCTGATGGATGTGTAGTTTGAACTGGACTGTTTTTTCTTTTTGTTAGAAATGTATTTACATTCCTTTGAAATGAAGAATACACCATTGGACAATACAACCTTTGACCTTCTTCCTTCAAGAATGATTCATTTTATCCCATGCATATCACTGGCACATGACTTTGTTGTCTATGTGGCAGCCCTTTGTCACAGGATGGTTTGCATGGGACTGGAACGACGACATGACGGCCTAGCATGAAGCATGTGGACACTGTATCTGATCTTTTGAAATCTTCTGATCATAACAGGAGGGGCTCAGCTGGTGTTGCGGGTTCTATGGAGCTTCTGAAGTTGTATCAGAGCATGCATGGCCCCTTCACACAGGTTTTTCTGTATCTTTGTGTCTGGACTGACATTCTTATCACATGATTGTTATAAACTAACTTCAATGGATAAAGATTATTTATATTTGTTTGTTAAATATTATAGGAAGCTCCACTTATTACAGAAGACATGCATGAAGAAAGACTGCAGGCAGTTGAAGCTTCTGGGAATTCTTTTGTAAGCTCAAATTATTTATTTATCCACGACCTTTTGTCCCTGGTCAGTTGATTATTGCTGTGGCTGTATCCATATATTACTTATCACATCAGTCACGAGGAGCTGTGTCTTGCGAATGGGATGATCGATGATCTAATCTAAAAACTTTCCACTAGTTTTTGAGTGCGGAGGATTTCTTTGGCACCAGGTAGTTAAGTCTCAAAAAATTTACAGAAGTTTGTCTTAATGTCTGATACTGGTGGTGTACCTGATTCAACTAAAAATTTTCATCGCGGGAGGACAGGTAGCACTGGCTGATCTTAGTTGGGATTCATCATGTTCAATAAAGCACGGGTATTGACTATCCCTTAGTTCACCATCATTAGAGAGGAAAAAGGAAGTGCTAAACCCTAGTTCTGTTCAGTAAAACTGAGCAAGTTTTTCAAATATTATATGCTTCAAGAAGTGCAACAGATTTCAAACACCTCCACATGCAATTTTAAAATGAGTATCCTTGTTACTCTTGATGGATCATCTTATAATCTGGATTATGGAATCTAACATGTGATGAGCAGAGTAATTTTTCCAAAGTTTTCTGTTTATTAAACAAGGGGGTGTATTTTTTTTTTATTTTGTGTAAATTTATTTAACGAGGAAGCTTTATACTATTTTATTGCAGAACTTCTCTGCTCAGTTGGGGAAGGATATCTTATCATCAGGCACTAAATAAGCTTCCGTTTTATTCTTTTTAAGTCCTTGGTATTGTCAACTGTTTATTTATTGTTGCCTTTCTGTATCCACATCCAAATATTATTTCAATAACATAACAAAATTAAATCAGGGGAGGGGCTTGGATAACAAGCAAAACATTTTTTTTTCTTCTTAAGAATTATAGAAAACAACAACGGTTTACATTATAATAGAAGAGGAGCCTATTTTGTTCACCATCTCTATTTTGTTTGTTGTCAAATGCTTTCATTTTCAAATGCAAACACATTTTCCCTTTGAATTTCCTAAGATTTTATATTGCAATCTTTGGAAAAATTTGAGCTGGACATGTCAGCATTCAAAGCAGCAAACCAAGATGCTGTCTTTGAAGATTTTATTCGGTGGCATTCACCGCGGGGATTGGGATAATGATGGTAGCAAGGAAAGGAGACCATCTAAAAGTCCAGGGAAAAAGGGTTTGAAGGATGATTGGCCACCACTTGGCCGACTTTCACAACAGATGTCTGAGCAAGGGAATTTATGGCACAAGATTTGGAATGGTGCTCCTGCTTTGCCAGCATATGAGTAGAAACCTCTACTAGACCCCTTTCGGAAAGGATAGAAGGTCCGATAAACTTTTTATTGCAATCTTAATGTTATGTTCACTCGCACCTTGTACCATCAAGTCTAACTTCTATGTTATGCTATGTTTGTGGTATGTGTCTGTGTAGCATTTCTGTCCTGAAAAGATTAGGGAAATTAAACTTAGTCGATTAAAGGACTAGTAGAAGTTCACCAAAAGCATTCATCTCTAACTCTGTGTCTTATTATTCTGATTGTACTACAAACTTGTTACTTTGATTTAATTAAACGGAATCAGAAGTTATGATGTTTACATTCAAACCTTTTGCCACTTGTGTCATGGGTCACATGACCCAGCTTTTGAACAAAAGACGGTTCAAATCGCTGAAGCTGCAAAGCCATTTGAAATTTTACTAAATTTTAATTTTGTGCTCAGGTCAGGTGATTCATACCCGTGATTTGTTTGAATTTTTTGCTAATTATCTCCACAATCCACTTCACCAGATCTACTAATTGCAAACAGCGATCTGATTGGCTAGTCAATGAAGAGGTTGCTTGCATGCAAGATCATTGCATTTTTTTAGTAAATGAGGAAGCAGATTGCAAGTTCACGGGTCTCTTTGGCTCTTTCAGGTAAAAATAAGAATAAAATAAAGATCAATGTCTTGACTGATATCTTATATCTTGTTCAGGGTGCTTTCTTGTGTCTTTCTAGTTACCTGTTCTTGCATGTATTGATTCAATACCCATCATTATTTTGAATTTTATCAATGGAGTAATGCGAATTTTATTTGGCGTTGCAATTATTGTTCTTAAGCAAGATATCATGTTGCTTTCAAGTGATTGCAGTTTCGAATTGTGTTTTTCAAAACATAGATCTGTCTGAGTCTGCAATAGAGGCTAATGCTTTCTTGGTGATTCTCACAATTTCCTTCACCATGGCTGCAATGGCTATGATCAGATGTATGGCTTCCAGAAAAATGCCACAGAATGATTTCTAAGAAGCCATTCTGTTGTGAAGGCCATCATAGGGTCAAGTCTTTGCACTAGCTGTTGTAGTCTACAAGGATCCAAACATATATAAAACAAAGACGTGTGCACTCCAGATAGAAGATAACCCGCACGTAACTAACACCATCAACGCTTTCAACACATGTCATGCACCACTACACTAGCTTACGCCATTGGTGGCTGTCTGCTTTTTGTCTTGGATAAAAAGCAGGCAGTGACCAGTCCTCAAGAGACGCAACTTCCATGGTTTGGTTACGTACAATATTCAATTTGAAAAATAAAAAAATACCTCACTTTGCCTGTTTTGGAAAGTTATTTTGTAAATGTTTGAATTCTTTTTAGATTTTCTTTTTTGTGTTTAAATTGCTTTATATATTTTTTTAAATATTATTTATATATATTTATCTGAGGGCAGGAAAATATATTAGTATATATTAGACAATATATTAGTATATATTAGACTATTTGTTGTGCTTCTATTCAAATAATTGAAACTTCATAGACTATTAGTATATATTAGACAATATATTAGTATATATTAGACTATTTGTTGTGCTTCTATTCAAATAATTGAAACTTCATAGCTGCACATGGAGCTCTTGCTGCTATCTCCTTTCCCTCCCGCATCACTTCTTTAACTCGTTTTTAAAACGCTGCTCTTCTCACACTAGCTGATAATGAGAAATACGTGCTCCTTCGTTGCCCCCAATCAAAATCTTGGAACATCTGCACTTCTATCATCAAAGCCTCCAGCATGAGATATCATGTAGCAGATTATTTTGTCCGGCGGGCAGAAACATGTCCCTTCCTCAAGCTAATGGACATAAGAAAACAATTAAACGCATGGCGGCTTCACTTCATCCCATGCTTGGCCAAGTGGGGTTAATATAAATCTTGACGAAGGTCAAGATGAACTAACACCTTGTATCATTTTTATTCGTCATTTAAAGTATTTTTGGATCATTATAACTCTACCAAAAAGAGTGTTTATGAACCGATAATTTCCTATTGGAAATTTAACAACATTATCCAATGTTATATTTATTAGTTTCTTGAAATACATACACAGCAAAAATGATAAATAAAAAAAATTAATAGCCCAAGAATTCAGTTATATAAATTTAAGGTTATTTAGGATTTGTAAGAATATTACTAGCAAATCAAATATTTTTTTCAGCATTAAATAATTATTTTAAGACTGAGTTGTTGCAAATTATAAATCATTCAGGTGTCTAGTTTTAATGTTAATCCATATAAATTATTAGTAAGAAATTTTTTAAGAAGAGAGGGATTGATATTGCCTTTGAGTGCTAACTTTTTCTTGTGTTTTTCTTATATTATATGTAACTTATATAGTTTCTATATATTGCCAAGAAAATAAGAGCCATAAACATAACATTTTATTTATAGGAAAACCTGAAAAAAATTGTAACTAAAAAAATATCAATTTGCTCACTGAATAATATCACATTAATTATTTAAGAATAATTTTACAAATTTATTCAATCAAGTTCCTACTTGATTTTTCTAGGTCTAAAATTGTAATTTTCTGTATAAATTACACTCTAATTCTTGATTTTTAAAATTTATTTATAATAAAATCATATTTGATTAATTATCTCATTTTAATTTATGACCAATGATTCTTATATGTATGGCTCAAAGTTCTCAAATAAGTTGGTCTAAATATAAATCACAATTCTAAATAAAATAGTATTAGATAAATTAATTTATTATCAATTCAACAACTGGCTGATTTGTATTTGAAGATCAAATACAATGTCTATCAACCTATCATGATTCCCTAAATATTATAAAAGTCATAAGTAATTTAACTTAATTTTTCAACGACTAATTTCTCGGTGTAATTATTATCTCTTCATCAATAATGTCTTGATGAGGGGTGTGCAAAAAAACAAGAAAACCAAATAAACCAAGAAAACTGAAAAAACATTAACCAAAAAAACCCAACCGAGAAAAGAAAACCAATTAAACCGATTAGAATAGTTAGAAAAAATCTTGATTCTGTTTGGTTTTCGGTTTTGTAATGCGTGAACCAGTTAACTTGAACCGAACCGAACCAATTAAAAAAAAAGTACTATAACTAGAAAAAATTATTCCCTCTCGGTAACCCTAGCCACCAACAGCCCCCTCTCGCCTCTTCGTCTCCCTCCCCCTCCCCCTCCCCTTAGACTTAGAAGGAGCCCTCTCTCCCTTCCCCTAGACCTAGATGGTGTTTGGATACACTTGTGCGGCTGCGGTTAGAAAAAAAGTAGTGTAATACATGTTTGGTTAACAACGAACCGCAATTTGTTTTTATGTGGGTCCCAATACAAACTGTGGTTCAATTGCAAAAAATGAAAAGCAATTATGTATTGATTTCTGTGATGCTTTTGTGTTCTATGTTACCCATGTCAATTTTGTAGAAAATTGTATGTTTGTACTGCTGCATGCTCTATTACTATTAACACTGTAATTATTGAATTGATCTACGAGTTTGCTGTTGCTGCATGTGTTCTATTTACTGTGCCTTCGTCAAATTTTTTGAATTTGTAGCAAATTTCAGTGTTTCTTCTGCTTGTCCTCTGCTTTGCATGTGTTTTTAATTTTTTTCTACTTGAAAACCTGTATTTCTGTGATGCTTTTGTGTTCTATGTTACCCATGTCTATTTTGTAGTAATTGTAGCTCAAAATCTATTTTATCTTCTGGGTCTCCATTGTATCTATTTACAGGACAAAGCTGCAGAACCGTGCTAGTTTGGACACCTAAAGATAGACTGAGGTGAGTTCCTACCTTATCTCCATCTTTATTTTCAAATTTTTAGATGAAAAATTGCATGTCTGTGTACCTGCATAATCAATTATTGTGTGTTCTATAATTGAAAAATTCCATAACTATTGTTGATTGTCTTCTGTTTACTATGCCTTCGTCATTTGTTTTGAATTTAAAAGAGTTTAATTGCTTCCATATATTGCTTGTCTGTTGTTCTTTGTTCTGGTTTTGTTTTTTGTTGTCTACTACCAGCTGACAGTGCTGCTGCTGGATTATTTGCTTCCTGGAAACAATGTGATGCTTTGAAATTTCATTTATGTGTTGTTCTTCATGGTCTGATATGTTTGCTATGCATATTAATGTTGTTTCTGTTTGAGCAACCATAGATTTCTTTACTATGCGTATGTTTATTGTAATCGTAATGAGTGCCCTGTTACCATGTCGTGTAGGATTACTTTTATTTATACTTGTGCAATCAAAATCAAAATTTTGAGTTCTTTTTTTTGTGTTTGCATGTTGCAAAAGAAAGTTGGGTTTTTTTTAATGTAGAAATACATTCTGTTCTGTTTGCTTTTTCCCGGCTATTTTTAGCTTTCAAACAACATGACGACAATGAAGTGTTGCTTGATAATTTAAATAGTATGTCATGTCTGAAACTGAGTTTTCTGAATAGTTGAAATTAATAGGTTTCAATTAGTTTTTATTACAAATTAACTTAAACATTCTCATTCAAATACATGCATGGTTAATGTTTGTTGTTAACCACACAACTTTTGTAAATGCTGAACATTGAGTGTTTTATTATTGTTTAAGTCCACGGTTTATGTATGTGCCACAATGTAATTGATATCATTTATTGATTTCAAACTTTTGTTAAATGTGTTAAAAGATATCATGGAAGGTCTTGAATCTTTTGATAAGGCTGCTTGGACAAAGGAATTGTTGCATATATTTTGTGATATATGCATTAAGGCAATTGATATGGGACTGAGACCTAATACTCATTTTGATAAAACGGGGTGGAAATTTCTTATAACATCATTAAAAGAATAAACTGGCCATGCATTCACCAAAACACAATTGAAAAATAAATGGGATGGATGCAAAAAGGATTGAAGGATATGGAATAAACTGGTTTTGGAAACTGGTGTTGGCTGGAATAGTGAGTTAGGCACAATTATAGCTAGCGATGAGTGGTGGAAACAAAAAATTCAGGTACATTCCTTATTATCCTAATAATTTCTTTTATTGTTGTCGAATTCCAACCCCAAAATTTGAGTAGTCTAATCCTTCATTACTTGATCTAATTTATATGCAGGAAATTAGAGGAGCCAAAAAATTCAGACATGTCGGTATTGAGCCATCTTTGAAGAATAAATTTGACCGAATGTATTCCAACATTGTCGCAACTGGAGCATATGCATGGGCTCCTTCATTAGGTGTACCTGCTGGCAGTGATGTTGATCCTGGTACAAGCAATGCTGACATTGCTCATGATGGGTTGGAAGAGGGCAGCGGTGATTCGGAGGAAGATGTGATTCCAGATTTCCAGACTGACATGGCTCGAATGGTTGGAGGGATAAATATGTCTAGCAACAGCAACACAAAAAGCGGTGGCAAAAGAAAAGAACGAGATCATTATGATGTGTGAGGTAGAAAGAAGAAAACAACTGGAATTAGTGTTCAGCTGCTGTCAAGGTGCAATCATCTACTTGAGAGTATGTCGACTAAGAGTGATTCGACTTCTATGAATATGGATCACGAAGGTTGTAGTATTCACGAGGTGATGGCTGAGCTGCACTCAATTCCTGGAGTTTCAATTGAAGATGAATTTCATGACTTCGCTACGGAGTATCTCAGTTTAAGAAGGAAAAGAGAAATATGGGCTAGTATGGGTGATAAGCAACAGAAGTTGAGATGGTTGCAACGAATATATGCACGAACTAAACATGCTTAGTTGA